TTTTATTTTATTTTATTTTATTTTATTTTATTTTGTTTTGTTTTATTTTATTTTATTTTATTTTACTGTACTTTATTTTATGTATTTTTTATTTTATTGATTTTATTTCATTTTTCAACATCCGAACTTCATTGAGTTGCTCTACGCCATTTCTTAATTTAATGACTTTTCTAATTAGATACATAAACTCGTTTAACTTTGTGGTCTCATTCTCAATTTTCACCCTCAGGTTTTCTTGTCGACAAATTTGGCAAATATAAACCGGTCGTCATTATGAGTCTGCTGTTGAATGCGCTTTTCCATCATTCGCTTTTGTTCATACCACAACAAGAAATTCCCGGTATTGTACCCTCAGCGTTCGTTATGCGCCATCCGGATACAGGTGATATAGAGGTGAGTTAGCATGCATTTAACCAGCCAAGCATTCGCTCATACATACATACATACATACATACATACACGCAAACATACTTGGCAAGCCATATACTTATGTATGAACACTTAATTTCATTGTTTTACAAATTTGCACGCTATGTATTGGTAGGTATAAAGTGCTCAGCTCATATGTTGTAGTACGAACAGTATTTGAGTAAGTTTCAGCGTTAAGCCACTTCAACATCCGTTCTGTATGTCCTTCACACTGTACTCCGGTTCCCTTGCTGTTGGGCATTTGTGGCTCACTACGTTCCATCATTGAGTTTGGTGGACCACCAGGTGAATAAATACTTCTTTGCTTGGCTAGCACTAAAGGCTGGCTGGCAAGGACAGTGATGTAAAGTTTTTTGATAAATTCGGTTTAATGTTGATGTTACTTACCGTCTGCAGGCGTTATACTTAGCTTTCATTAGATTAAAGGAAAAAGATTTGTGGGAGATATGAAAAATAAGAGAAATATTAATGGTCAGCTATTGAACAGATACAGTTAAATTTCTCTGTTAAATTTTGCTGATGGAATGTTACGTAAAAGGCCTTGTGGGGAAATACATATGTGCCAAAAGGACATGAAAAACTGATTTAATTAAAAAATATAGATATACAAACGTAGTCGCATGACAAATGGTATAAAAAACTAATTTTTTTTCGATGTCTCATCCTTCTTGAATGATTTAAGACCAAAACGTTTCTCATCGTTTATATTAATAAAAATACTAGAAATGGAAGCTGTTGGTAGGATCCTGGAAAGGCACGGCACTCAGCAATATATAGTTGCAAGGATCGACTCGATACTGAAAGCCAGAGTAGTCAACACAGCTGTAGTCACAGGGTACATAATTGAAATAACAATAAGGCGGATTCCGCAGGGAGGGTTCCTATCACCGCTGTTGTGGAGAACAATGGCAAATTCTTGCCAAAAAATTACTGAGCTGATGGAATTGGCACTGGGCAGTGTTTCCCGCTGGACAAAACAAAATGGGCTAGGAGTTAACCATTCTAAAACCAAACTTGTCTTGTCCACAAGCAAAACAAAAAATTCGGGAATTCCCCTTACCAAAGCAGGACTGCTCGGAAATGCAAATTAGTGAAGAGCATAACTCCCTACTGCCACCGATTTCTTTTATGCTAAGTGGGTTGAAAGATACACTACAACCGTAACTAATGACCTATGAATCAATCAGGACGAATGTGAGATCTCAAGATCCTTGTGGCCTAGACTCGATAAGAGTCGTACTGAAGAACTATTGACACTAAAGAAATCTGCAGTAAGTGCTGTTACTAGCGTACCAACGAGCACAGGGGGATTTCGCGTTTGCGAGGCTACGGGTGTCACAATCCCGGGTACCCCAGTCAAAGGCTACCAGTCCGAGTAGGTGGAGACTCAACTGGCAGAAGAGTCTACGGCCTTCGAGAGTCATACCAAAGACTTTAAAATGGTGCCACGGGGAACAGATGCCCCCGGAGTGTGTTCGTCGGTGAGACGAGCAAAACTGGCGACACAAGCAATGCATGCAAGGCTGGCAAGGCAAGCACTCGCATGGCTTAAACGACTAGAAAAGGGTGAAAATAAGTTGGATGAAAGTTGAAATCGAAGGAAATGTTGAAACTGTTGGAAACCGTTGGAAAATGTTGAAAAAGTTGTGCGCTAGTTGAGCAATTCGTTCCGTTGCGAAAGCTGAGCGAGTGGCGTCACCTCTCCTGGATGTGGAGGGTGCATGTTGAAATGGAGATGAATGTGGAGTGTAGTAGTCGTGTAAGTCGTTCTAGTGTGGGCGGAGTCAGTTAAGTGGGTCAGGGTGAGTTGAGCCAGTCGAGCGAATCTCACCGGCGAGCATTACTCCGGTCTGTTCATGGGTACGGCCCCTTTGGGGAGTATCGTGGTGGCTGTGGTTTATTACCTAAATGCGGGTAGAACCAGCAATGGTTCAATGTGGAGTTGCATTGCAACCGGATGTCGTGATCCAGAGAACGTCAGAGGTTTAGGTAGGCCTCGGCCCTACCAAGGTGGCAAGTGTGTCCACCACATACTGCCAATTGGTACTGAAGTGCTTTCAGTTCAGGGCAGTGATTAATGCAAAAATTAGGGCATCATCTTTGAAAAATGAGTCAGCGTGTTTATTATATTATTTGAACGCCCACGAATAAGAGGTCTAAGATTTATATGTGTGTTCCTCGAAAATAAAATTATGTCTCTTTGTGGAATCTTGAACATGGCATTCTTCAAAGTGAGGAAGCGAAGATTTTTCGCATTAAAAATGGCATAAAAAATCTTACATCTACGCAATTTGCCAAATAGATGTCCACGTGAAAATTTCGTATACGCCATGTAGTATGCCATTGTACAAAGCCTTATGCTGTCAAATATGAGTGCTTTCAGAAATTCCTTTTAATTACAACAATTTATGCGGTTGAGAGCTAAATAAGTGGCAATGCTTAACCGCCGCCTCGATAGCTTCGAACTGCAATGGACAAGGACTAACTATCGCATTTTCATATATGCATATATGTACGTACGTACTTATGTTTGTACTTACTAGCTTAAATACTTTGCAGCGCGCACATAACATATGTATTAGGGCGAGTAAATTTTTTTTGCTAGTTATGTGCGTTTAGCATAGGAGGATTCTACGTGTAATTCTAAGCAAATTGACCGAAGAAACCTTGGGTCTAAAATCAATTTGGAGTTTGCCAAATTGCAAATCAGGGAAAATTTTCACTGATGCGCCCTCTGGTGGAAATTTTAAGAAAAAGATAAATGCAGAAATAGTTTCTCATACCAAAAACCCCTTATAGCATGTTTTTATACAAAGTTTAAGCACTTCTTTACGACACTATATCAAAATGCGAAGAACTCTTTTTTTGCAATCTCCAAATTGATTTTAGACCCATGGCTTATGGGGCAAATTCGCTTAGAATTCCAAGTAGAAACCTTTTGTGCTATACGCGCATAGTCGAAAAAATTTCCCATATAAATTGACCCGCCCTAATAAATATGTATATACATATGTATGTACATTAGGATGGGCCTTAAATGTAGGAAGCAAATTTTTATATCATATTTCCTAAGCCTCAATCCGTATGTCAATGCTACTATAGTCGATGATATCACATATAAATTTTTGGCCCCGATTTAAGTCAGTTAAGGCGTAGCGCACAGGGGTCAAAATTCAGATTACCCTATGAAGGCATCTTAACCGACTCCAATCGGGACCAAAATGTATATATGTGACCGTGGTGTTACCGATTGAAGTGGTGAGACTGCGAAAAATCGCTTATTTGATTTTTTTTAAGGACCCCCTTAATGTACATACATACTTACAGCGTCTGTATATTGTAGAGCGAGCGAACATACTTACCTTTGGCAAATTAAATGCTGGTCGCTTTGTCTTTAGCAACAATGTTCATCCATGTGCATATACACTTTTACATACATACATTACCGATGCTGATGCCGTTATATTGAGTTTTCGCCCTTTTGTATTCCAAATTACGTACATAATTGCAGTGTAGAATTTTCATCTTAACCATTGTTTTGTGTTTTGCCACTTTTGCTGTTACATACAGTTGATATTGGCGTTTTTGCTGATTGCAGCTAGCAGGTGCATGCATGCAAACAAATATTGTACATACGTTTGTTCTATTTGTACTTAGGTTCGCATGCATTTGCGCTTGAATAGCGTGAAAATTCAATCAATTTAGTTTTCAATCGAAGTGCTTTGTTGCATTTTGCGGCGTGGTGGTTCGAGTATGGTTGAAATATTTACTGCTGAAGTGCTAAGATTGTTGGAGTTTGTTGCATTCACGACACTGCACTTTTTAGGGAGAATAAGTATACATATCCACGTATATACATACATGTATGTATGTATAAGTATGTATGTATACAAATACTTGAATTTACATATTCGCAACTGCATACATACATATATGAACCTTGCCAGACGAACTTCTAGTATCCAGCTATTCTACCACCAAGTATTAAGGGCTTCATATAAATGGGAGTTGGACTGCCTAAGCTATAAATAGCCCCAGTGCTCAAAGTTGGCATTAAATATTTCCGCGACTCATCGTCTTCAAGATAATTTGGTTGCAGTAGCAAGTATAACAACTCCAATTAGCACTTAAGTGTGCCGTTTTAAAATCACAACTAGCAATTTATTCTAAAAGGATATATAAAGAAGATAGTTAAAAAAAAAAACAAAAAAAAAATATTGCTTTATGGATCTGTTAAGTGAGCCTAAAACGATATTTCGCTTCTATAAACAAAGCTCTTTAATTTAACTCATATGCATACAAATTTCAATTAATTGATGAATTAAGTTGAATTTGTATTTTTCAAATACGTGGCAACATTTCTAAATATAGTTCAGAAATAAAGCCCTTCCAAGCCAAGTTCGATTGATACCCGTCCCTCTTCACTTAATTTATTAGATAATTTGAGTTTAACTTTTTAAACAGGTGGCAACCCTCTTCAAATACCTCGAACATATTCTAAATGTTCAAACTCTTCAATGGCTTTGCAAAACCGCCCATCGATCGATTGCAAATTCGCCTATCTTACGGTACTCAAATTTTACAGGAGAGCGAATAAACAGGTTTTCCTTAATAACAATTTTAAGAGTTTTATTCATAAATCTCGCCACCTGCAGTTCAGGGTTACCAAATCTCATTTTTCCCACAACGCAACGCAACTGATGATCTCTTACCACTATTTCTTACTTCCTTCTTCTTACCTTCTTTCTTTCTTTCGTTCTTGACTATTTTTGAAAATCGGTTAAACCGTTTCTGAGGTTTTGTCCGCCGAGCAAACGAACTTAGCATTTCTAAATATTAATCAGTGAATAATTCAAAAATCAAATTTTAAATAAACTGCATTAGATCTTAGATATTTCATATTTAAACAAAATTTTAGAGTAGAATACATTTTCGGATACTTAAAAATTACCATTTCCAAAGTCCTTCCATCAATGGGAATTCCACTT